CTCTTCCCCCGCCTATGGCAGAGGATGAGCTCAGACAGAAACAGAGGCTAGACCCAGCTCTCGATGCTATAGTCACTCTGTTAGAAACTGGTCAGACCCCACCTCCCAGTCTTAGAGCAGAACTACCTGAGCTTCCCTTGTTGCTGCGTGAGCTCAGTCATCTTGAACTGCAGAATGGAGTTCTTTACCGAAAGAGGCAAACCGGTCCAGACATCTCCTTTCAACTCGTGTTACCCGAGGAGTTGAGGTCCGTAGTCTTCCAACACCTCCACAGTAACATGGGCCACCTAGGAACTGACCGCACTATTGACCTGGTCAGAACTCTGTTTTACTGGCCAAAAATGCAGACGTCAGTTGAAAAAATGATCAACACCTGTGAACGGTGTGTTCGCCGGAAGTGTAGGCCGGAGAGGGCAGCTCCCCTCATGAACATCAAGACAAGCAGGCCCCTTGAACTGGTCTGTATAGATTATCTATCTATTGAGCCAGATCAGTCTAACACTAAGGATGTATTAGTTATGACTGATCACTTCACTAAGTTCGCAGTAGCTGTCCCTACACCCAACCAACGAGCGCGCACTGTTGCAAAGGCCCTCTGGGAGAACTTCATTGTTCATTATGGTGTCCCAGAGAGACTTTTAAGTGATCAAGGTCCCGATTTCGAATCGAAGACAATAAAAGAACTCTGCGAAATTATCGGGATGAAAAAGATACACACGACGCCGTATCACCCCAGAGTCAATCCAGTTGAGAGGTTCAACAGAACACTTCTCCAAATGTTTGGTACCCTGAATGACAATGAGAAGTTGCATTGGAAAGAGTATGTAAAGCCTCTAGTACATGCATATAATTGTACCAAGAATGATGTGACAGGCTATTCGCCTTATGTGCTGATGTTTGGGAGACAACCAAGGCTTCCCATTGACCTAGTATTTGGGTTGCCTGTGGATGCTCAGAAGAAGTCACACTCCCAGTACGTCAGTGATCTGAAACATAGGTTGGAGGAAAGTTTTAAGATTGCAACATCAAACGCACAAAAGAATGCTGAGCGCAATAAAACCCGCTTTGACAAGCAAGTGGTTGACTCGACTCTCAACGTGGGCGACAGGGTTCTCGTGCGTAATGTTAAACTGAGGGGAAAACATAAGTTGGCAGACAAATGGGAGGAAGATGTGTATGTAGTTCTGAGAAGAGCGGGTGAACTACCAGTCTATACGGTTAAACCGGAAGCGAAAGAAAGACCAGTCCGAACATTGCACAGAGACCTGCTCCTTCCTTGTAGCTTCATACCGGTCACGGAGTCAACTGAAAACAGTCCCAAAAAGCCCCAAGCTCGGCGGAACACAAGGCAAACTGTCGTTCAGGAAGACGAAGACGACGACCTAAACTCCGAGTACTTCCCAGTACCCACCTGGATACCAATCTCTATTACCAGTTCCATCAAGCCGACTCTCGTTGTGCCCAGCGCTGAAAGTGTGCAGAGACCACTTCCAGCTTATGATGAAGCCGAATGTGACAGCCCCACCGGACGTGACAACCCCACCGGACGTGACAATCCCATCGGACGTGACAGACAATCAGAGGAAATTGAGGAAACAGAAGTTGTGAACTTACCTGAAACTGCAACTGAGAACTTACCCGAACATGTGGACTTACCTGAGCCTAGTTTGCGGGAAACCGACGTTCAAGTTGAAAATCCTGTGGAAAGGACCCAGCAACCTAGTGAGCAAGTCCTGCCCGAAGTGGATGAGACGATGCTAGGGCGTCCTAATGACCAAGAAAGAGTCATAACTGAGCAGCCCAGTTCATTTGGTTCACAGAACAGCTATCAGGAAGAACATGACGTCCTTCGTCGATCTCAAAGGTCACGTCAGACACCAGAAAGGTTGCAGTATTCTACCTTAGGTAACCCCTTACTGTACGTTGTTAATGCAGTATTTAATAGCCTAAACGAAGCCATTTCAAGCTCTATGCAGTCTAACCATTTGGATGCACAGGGACGTGCATACCATCAAGTGGGGAGGGTGTAACCCATATTTGAGTATGGCTTAACTAGAATACACCAGAATAAAAGAATCATTAATCTAAGCAGCACACTTCATTTGTAATGAATAAACCATAGGTGCAGCAGTTAAGGAGTTAACTGTTCTGGTTTAGACACGTGTTACTCTAGGCCAATGAGCTGCTGAAACGTGGTACAGGCTCCGCCTGCCGCCCCTGCCTAGGAGGACACAGATTTTTCTTTTCTCTCTTCCGCTCGCGAACCTTCCATGAGCAAGCTAGTGGGGAAACGAGACACGGCGATTTACTGAGACGAGGTATGAAAAAGAGTAATATAGACGGAGAGCTAGCACTCGCCGTTTACGAAAGATTGTTTTACTGTATGTATATTGCTAAGACGAGTAATTAGCTGGTTCTTTTTACATTGCTTAGTCGAGAAAGGTCGGGAGTTAGAGACGACGCCATTTCATCGGTCGTGCGCCATCTCGCGCTGCTCCGTCTTTCTAATTCTGAGATCGGTGAGCAAAGTGTTTTACTTGTTCATTATTTATCTGTGTTTCATGAATGCCTTGCAAGTAAAATGTTCCAGTGTTTAATGATGATTGTTTAGGAATGTTCTGTAGGAAACTTTGTTCAATTTACTGAAACCCAGTAGTTGAAGTGAATGTGTGAATTGTGATTTTATGAGGAACTTAATATGTCCCATGACACTGTCGTTGACAGGTCAGGTTTTTTTCTTTTGTTTGGCTTTGTTTTTTTTGTTTCTTTGGTTTGTATCTTCCTGGTGCATTCAAACGGATCCTGAAATTGATGGCGAGCCAACCCCGTTGAAGGACCAAATGACTTTGTTCTGTCCTGCACATCAGAGTGTGGTAGGCCAGATGCAACAAAACAGAGACACACCACGCCATTTTGTACTCGTAGTCCCCCTTTTTCACACACATCCCCCTGGACTCACGGGCGGGTGGTTTTAAGGACTCGTTTTTACGGACTCTGTACATTCCATGAATGTGAACAAAAGTGAGTGTGAGCGGTTGGAAATAACCCTCCAGCTGATTAACTGTTGCTATTAGTTAACGAAGTCTGTGAAGATGCAAATAAGTGCTAACATTTATATGCTGATGATTGACATTGTGGTTCATTGTTGGATGTGAACTGTACCTCTAGAAAGGGTGCACCCAGGTAAGATTTCTTTTTTTTTTTCCATCGAGTGATCACTGTGATTTTGCCAAAAGGTGTTATTAAGAGAGTACTGGTACCGAAAGGGAATAATTTCATTTGTAAGTGTTTTGTATGTTTGTCATAATGTCCTGTTATTTCTAATTGAAAAGAAAAATACAATTCCGGTTATTTTTCAAAACTCGCGGTTGTCTGAGTCTCATTCAGTTCGCCTCTCCTGTATGTAGCCGAACCTACTGGTCCAAATCTTTGAGCTCTTTGGTGTCAAATTTGGGTGACCTACTCTTGTTCTGATCTGGGAGTATTTGAAACACGCACATGAGTGTTACACATGCATCACATTACATACTGTAAGTTGACAGCAATGTGAGTGTTTTACGTTCCAGTAAAATGTGTATGTGCTTATTAGGAGTTAATTATTCTATCGATGCTCCCAGTCATACTTTCAGAGGTGATCGGTCTCTAGAATAATGCTCCTGTACAGGCAGAAAGTCTGCGAGAACATTAAGTGGTTACATTTCAGGCCAACATTATCCAACATGATCCTTTACTACTTTTTATTGCACCAGTGCACATATAGTTACATTTCCCTGTAGTTACTGGTGCCCTTGAACACGTCCACAGCGCAGTTACCAAATACGTCTGTACATTTGTGTGGGTGGGGTTATATTTTTGCGTCACGGTTTTACTGTTTCCTACAGTAAATTAATTGACACAGACTCATATATCAGGAAAAATAATAAATCTAGCAGATGGTTTCCTAAATCCGTCCCAGTCAATCCAAAGAAAGGAAGCAGACAGTCATAAATTTTACCCCCTGTGTGCCCATTTCTTTTGTTTTTGGCTTCATCAAAGAAAATTCCATTAACAGCAGTGGTCTGTGCATAAGCCTTTATTTGAGTCAGCTTGTTGTGTAGATCTTTAAAGCACAAGCTGCTCTCTTTTCTTTTCCCAACCCCTTTATAAAAATGTTTTTTGGTGCCCGATACTAGCTTCCAATTTAGACAGAAAAGGTGGATTTTTCTTCTCCAGATCATTGAAAATATGAATAGAGTCCTTCTCAAGGACACTGACATCAGCAGTAACAGCCGTATATGCCACATGGTTTTACTGTGCATGAAAGCAATCTCACTCACGCAGACACTCTGAAAATCGGACACTTTTAAAAACTATACTGGCCAAATGGACTTTCAGCAGAGTTCATCAGAGCTGTTACATAATATATCGACTGTCTAGGTCATGAACAGTGCAGAAGACTGCTCGAGTGACTGAAATGTAATGGAAATAATGTGCATTTATGAGTGGAAGACTTAGATCACTTGCCTAGAAGTCATTTATGTCGATGTTGCAATACATAGAGTTTCCTGTACCTTTGCAGTTTCACAGTTGCCACTGCTATGGTTCTTACTTTAGCATACAACCTTATCATTGTTTTTAAAAACATTTTTTCTATGAAAATAATATAAAATTGGATTCTAAGAAGACTATTCTTTTATGATAATAATACTTTATCAATAAAGTCAATACAAGGGATTCTTGTGTGGGTGCAGTTCACGAAGCGATGCATCACTGTTTCATTTACACAGGCAAGTCATCCAGTTTCAGCTTATATTAATAAGCTAGTTATATTTATACATTTAGTTATATTTATATTTAGAACACTGTCACGAGATAACAGCTGTGAATTATATTAACTGACACCACTCTTGGTAAGTAGGTGCTTTCTTGGTAAACACCACAAACATTTCCTGTATCTTCTTTTGAAAAGTACAGCTCCAAAAAAAGATACAGGATATAGAAGCTATTTGTGATAATAGTTTCTGACAGTTTGTCTCCTTTCTGATGAAACAGGAATCATTTAGAACTGCCTTTGTCCTTCATGGCAGTTCCACAAGGTGCTAGAAGCATTCCTCAGAGACTTTGGTCCATGTTGATGTGAGAGAATCGCACAGGTGCTGCAGATTTGTTGGCTATGCATTCATGATGTGAATATCCCATCACAGCACAACACAAAGGTGCTCTGGTGGATTGAGATCTGGTGACTGTGGAGGCTATTAGAGTGTAATGACATGTTTACCACTTTGAGATGATTTGAGCTTTATGATATGGTGCCTTATCGTAATGGAGCAGCCATCTGAAGATGTCTGCACTGAAGGCATAAAGAGATAAACAGGATCAATAGGCATCAGTGGGCTGTGGCATTTAAATGATCACCAGTTGGTACTAAAGGGCCCAAAGTGTGTCATATCCACCACACTATTACACCACTAGAGGCAAGATTGACCCATAGTTTCATCTTGTTTATACCAAATTCAGTGGCTAGATTTTGGGTGCTACTTTATAGAATCTGTCCATGATTGATAAGATGACTGTTTACCATTTTAGGCTGGTAAACTGGTGACAAAATCCACCAAGATGAGAGCCAGTGAGGAACTGCTAGAGGCTGAAGCAGTTGCATGTTGCTCTTCCTGGCGTTTCAGGTGCAGACTGTGCAGGCTGCTACCTGAGACATCTTTCTCGACATCTTTCTTGAGTGTGTCTCACCAGAAATAGTCTGAGAAAACACATTCTACTTACCCCAGGGTGACTGGCAAAGTAGCAGTGTGCCCCCAGTGGATAACAGTGGAACAGGCTGTGGTAGGAACATAGCAATGGGGTGTCAGTCAGGGTCGTCTGACAGGGCACGCTGGATGGTCTCCTCCAAATCCCAGGTTAGAGCTCCAACAGTACAGGATGCCGGCAGGATTTGTTCAGCTGATCCAGCTGACTGCATTTTCTGAGAACTGGCATGAGAGAGCATCTGGCTTGATATATATTGAACCTGGGCAATAGGAGATTTTAAAGAAGAAAAAACAGAGACCAGCAAGCCTGCTGAGGTAAATGGCTCCTTCAATTTGTAAAAGGCCGCCAAACTACCTGACTGTAGTTCCAGATGCAGCAGCAGAAATTGGTGAATCCAAGGAAGCATTGTAGCTTTTTTGTGAAGTCAGCATGAGCCATTCTGTGACTGCGTGTCTGTCTTCATCTGCCCCCCTGCTAAGATATAGAGCGAAAATGTGATGGATGGTGAGTGAAACTTGCACTTTTCATCTTTGACACAGAGTCAATTCTCCAGAAGCTGCGGTAATACAATGTAGTTGTGAACTTGGTGCTCCTGCAAGGTCTTAGAAAAAAATCACAATGTTGTCAAGATATACGACGACTTAACAAATGATTTACCAGTGCCTGAAATACCGCAAGAGCGTCTGTAAGTCCAAAAGGCACGACCAGGTACTCAAAGTGTCAGAGAGGTGTATTAAAAACCGTTTTCCATTCATCACCCTCTTGGATGAGGACCAAATGTTCCATGGAGGGGTTCAAAAGTGGAGCTAATTAGAGTGGATATTTATTTTTTACTGTGATGTCATTGATCCCGCAAAAGTCTACATGGTCTGAGAGTCTTATTGTTTATCACCACAAAGAAAAAAACAGCTCCTACTGGGGAAGAGGATGGGAAGAAGAGGACAGGTGGACCATTCCTGCAGCCAACGATTTCTAGTTGTATTTCTCCATCCTGCTCCAACCATGACAGGTTGTATAAGCAGCTGGAGAGAGCAGGTCACCAGGAAGAAGGTCGATGGTGCTGTCATGGCCTACAGGAGGTATTCAGCAAAGACAAAGTGTCATCTTTGTCCCCTATGACAGCACCATTGACCTTCTTCCTGGTGACCTGCTCTCTTCAGCTGCTTATACAACCTGTCATGGTTGGAGCAGGATGGAGAAATACAGCTAGGAATTGTTGGCTCCAGGAATCATCTGCCCATCCTCTTCCACCTGTCCTCTAGGAGCTGGTTATTTCTTTCTGATGATAAAAGATAAGACTCTCAGACCATGTAGACTCATGGCAATGGGAAAATCCCTGTAGGTCAGCAGTTTCTGAAATACCTGTCATATGATTGACTCATTAGGTACCAGTCGAACAGTTGCACCTAACAAAATGACTGGTGAGTGTTTGAGTGCTTTAAGTATTGATTTAATAATTTGGGGGAAGAAATTAGAAAAGTCTTAACACAACACTTGGGATTACATGAAAATTTAGGGCGATATCTCTACAGCACATAAGACACAACTTAATTAGGAGAAAGAGAAGCAAGCGTGTAACACATCACTTCCTTTTAAAGCGGTGGTGGTGAGCGTGTTACTGTAGCATAGACTATCATACGTTTCCACACATATACCTGATAGACACCACGTAGGTCGCAAATCAGACTTATCAATGTAACATCAGGGCAGAGAAGCTATTATTTACATATACGTATACATGACTGGCACAAATGTGTTGCCTTATGTTTAAATGACTGTTAGTTACAACAGTTTACCAAAGTAGTTGGAATTGAACAATTTGTTTTGTTTATTGTAATAATGCGACGATATCACAATGTACATGGAAACAGCATCAACCTTTGTAGGCCTGTGCGCTCGTCTGCTGTCATAACACCCCCAGTTTTTACTGGGGAAGTATTGTCTGTATTTGAACCTGTTTTGGCTGGGGTGTCTTGTTGTATAATGTTGCAATCCCTTTAAAGCTTTAGTCTGATTTTCACCTACTTGTGAGGGGAAATGTCTGATCCTGGTTCCTTTATGTTCAACAGCTAGTCCCAGGCTTTGTCTTTCTGCCTCTGTGCTAACAGTTGAGTTCTTTTATAAGCTTCTCGTTTGCTGTGGTTGTAGTCGGTCATCTTCTTGCTTTGGGTCTGAAAGCAAAATTAATGTGAAAGCAAACAGTGCTCTCCAGAACTGAGAGGCTTTTAAGTTAACAGTTCTTCGAGCAACTGTGTTTGCTGTACATGCAGCGATTTGATGGATTTAACATTTAAAAATTAGCTGGATTTGTGAGAAAACACAAATCCGAGCATCTTCACCATTGAGTGATGTTACGTGAATAAGCTCTTGAAATTGAGCTTCTGAATGTTGTAAATGTCATCGGAGAGATATAGTATAACATTAGACATATTTTTCTTCTGCGTACACGAGAAAATGGCCTGTTTATCTCACTTCTTGACCTCGTGCACAGTAAGTTTTTACAGATTCATTTCATACCGCACGCATGAAAAGAGCTGGGCTTCTTTTTCAAAGTATTACACATTAGTTGTTAAACAGCCCATAAAATTAGGTAATGTTTCAGGAGAGAGATGCAAGTCATTATGTTTTCATAGGTTTAA